TAAAGGTGGAATTTGGCCGATAACACGCCATATGTAAGACATAGTGTTGCGTCTTGCTAAAAAGGCCATTGTCGGTTTCATTTGTAAAAATGTATTGTATCAAATTGATACAACTGAATTTCCCTCCGATCAAGCCGTGTTGATTTTTCATTGAGTTAAACCCCGACTTTGATGACTTTTTTTATTGACCTTAAAGGTGCACATGTTTAGAAAAATTATTCAGTGTCATAAACCGCACCGCAAAATACGGTTTGATAAAAATGAAAACTGCAAATTGTACTGTACATTACAATAATGAATGATACGGTGTGAACAATTTATACAGTTTGACGGTTCAAATAAACAACTGTAGAGAGGGGAAATCAGAAAGAAGCAAAAGTATAGGGACCAACGGTATAATTTATAATATTGAATTTAATTAAATAAATATTTTGATTAAATGTTAATAGTTAAAGGAAATTAAAATTATTAAAAAGAAAATGTTGATTTTGAAATTAGGAAGAAAAAAAAAAAGCGATAATAATTAATAGGAAAACAGAAAAGTCCAGTTGGATCGGTGGGCTTCCTCCATCTTCCATATAAAAGACGACACAGACGCGTAAATGGCAACCAACAAACAAACCCTAACCCTAATTCACCCTCCGCCATTCCCCTTTCTTCCTTGACAGGTTTCTCTCAACTCATCCCTGAGAAATTCCAATTGTGAATGGTGGAAATCTTGATTCTTTGGTGGATGATCTTCCCCCTTCCCTCGAGGGGGATCTCTTCTCTTTCCACCGCTTTCGCCTTTGGATCTTGCAAGGAAGGCTGGTATTACCGCTGCATCGGCGTCGATCCGTGAAATCGGAATCTCTTTTCCTCAACGCCACCGTCTAATCTAATCGCTCTCCTCCGATCATCCTCACCTGTTTTACGATTCAATTCCATTCGCTTCATTGTTTTGTTCTTTCGTTTCCCCGTTTCAAGGATAAAAAGAGGAAAATTCGTATTTGTTTCTTCGAACAAGGATGTTGCTCATGAAGCATAAGAAGAATCAGGCCGGGAAAGCCTCCGGCAACCGTTTATTGATCAGCGTTACCGTTATCGGTAGCGCCGGTCCGATCCGTTTTGTTGTTAACGAGGAGGAGGTGGTGGCTGCCGTCATCGATACCTCTCTAAAATCCTACGCTCGCGAAGGGCGTCTCCCAATCCTTGGCTCCAATAGTAAAGATTTCGTTCTATATTGCCCCACCACCGGAACGGAAGGTAAACCTTGAGTAATTCAATTCAATATGATAATCGTTTGGATGTGGAATTGAAATTGATTATGATAACAGCTCTGAGTCCATGGGAGACGATTGGATCGGTTGGAACGAGGAATTTCATGCTGTGCAAGAAACCTGAGAAGGTGGTGGAGGGTGGCGATGGTGTCGGAATAACAAGGAAAGGCTCCGGCAGCTGGAAGGCGTGGTTCAATAAATCACTGAATCTGAAAGTTTCTTCTCATTGATTCCTGATGAGATGAATATAATAAGCACTGATTCGTTGTTAGTTTTGTTTAGTGATGAATTTCTGGTGAGGGTTTTGTTTGTTTTTCAAATGAATTGTCAATTTCCAAATCTACTCCAATAATTTATTAATTATTCGATTGTGTTGCATTAAAGGACACGATGTCGTACTCTTCTACGATATTTGCGTCATCATACGTTATAGATTTTATCCAACCAAGTTTATTTTTTTATTTGTCGATTTCATTGTTTAATCTCAATAAAATTGTTTTTTGAAATGAATTTGTTTCATATATGATTATGAAATTGTTTTATATCATAATTATTAAACTTTAATGAAATTGTTTGTATTTCTTTAAAAGTAATATAATGAAAATGATTAATTAATCTCTTATAATTACAAAAAAAAAAAAAAAAGAACAAAATGAAAAATTAATCTCTTATAATTAAAAAAATGAACAAAATGATTAATTAATCTCTTAAAATTATGAATGGTTGAATGAGATTTGTATAATTTATATAAATAATGTGTTTGCAAAGTAAACCTCTTATATCAAGTCTTAAATAAGATCGGTGAAAAATTATGATTGGTTGAATGAGTTTTGTACGGTTTATACAAATAACATGGTTTGTAAAGTAAATCTTCTATAGCAAGTCTTAAATAAGATCGGTTAATTCTTTTGAAATCCAATATCTAAAATACTTCGTTTTAAAAGAATCAACAAAATTAAATACTAATATATGTATGCTAGAATGATACTTACGCAATGCAATGAGATACATCGAGATAATGTTTCATTTTATTTTTTGTCTCTGTCGATATAATACGGTTTTATGTTTTTCTAAGAAAACGATAATGTTTATATTCATAAAAATTTGAAAAAATATATATTGATATTAGTATTAATTAACTATTTAAAAATTATCGTCTTTTATGTAATTTTTTTAATTCAGTTTTTTATTATAATTTAATTTAGATTTAATAACAAATAATTTGAGTTGCTCGGAGAATGAACTCCGGAAAGGTCGAATAAAAATGAATAGAATATGATAATTTATTTTTAGTTTAATAA